CAATTGCAGTTGAAAAATAAAATGAAATAATTTAAAAAGACTGCCAGGAATTGTTCATAAAATCGTGGATGGTTAGATAAAAAATTGTAACTGTGTGGGAAAGATGTTAATTAGACTTACGGTGGTGATTATTTTGTAATATATACAAGTATCAAATCATTATGCTGTCTACCTAAAACTAATATGTTATATGTCAATTATACCTCAATTTTTAAAAGAAAAAAAAAAGGCATGGATGCTGAGAGCTGGAAGGGTGTCTGAGGGCACCAAGGCTGACTGCAGCCACTCTACAGAGAGGAAGACAGATCTGGAGAGGGAACGGCACATTCCCAAGCTGAGAGCAAAGCCAGGAGTGAACATGAACATCTGTATCTCGGGTTGTTTCCAGGAAGAAAGGAAGATGATTTATATACAGCACCCTCCCCAACAACAAAACCAGGGCACATCTGTGCCTCAAACTGCCTTCCTGGAGACTCCCAAGAGGCTTTCTAGTGGCGTGGCTAAGACGTGACCTCTTAGAACAATGTCATGGCTCATCCACTACCTAGTTATGGGACTTGAACAAGTTACTTCACCTCTCAGTTGTTGTTTTTTTAATATATATGTATAATTTTTTAATTTACTGATTGGAGAGAGAGAGGGGGAGGGATGGATGGATGGAGAGAGGGAGAGAAAGAGATAGAAACATAGATTTTGTTTTGTTCCACTAAGTTATGCATTCATTGGTTGATTCTCATATGTGCCCTCGCCAGGGATGGAACCTGCAATCTTGGCCTATTGGGACTACACTCTAACCACCTGAGCTACTGGGCTAGGGCCCTCTCTCAGTTTTCTTGCCTGTAAAATGCGGATGAAATGGTGCCTGCATCATAGGATTATGGTGATGGTTGAATGATTTAATATTTTTGAACTGTGCTAGAACAGTGCCTGCACATAGAAGATGCCACATAAGCACTTGTGACACAAAAATTAAAACAGGAGGATATAGAGTATAAGAGAAGGGCCAGTCGACCTGGGTTCTGGTCCAGTTCTGTTTGGATGTGTGACCTAGAGCAAGTTCCTTCCCCTCACTGGGCTCAGTTCCTGCTCTGCAAGTGGGAAGGTTGGACACCTGCCGGCCCCTGTGCCCACTCCAGGCCAGCCGGCTCCGGGGCCTCTCACAAAGGTCTGCATACCTTTGGCCTCTCCCTGTGCTGTGATTTCAGAACACGGGCCAAGGGCGGCTGAAATGTGAGCTGGAATGTTTGTGCTGTCAGAAAGAAGGGAGGCCCACTAGATCTTTTCAAAACTCACATACTGACTTGCAAATCAGGTAACAGAGACATCTCGGTGAAGGGGTTGATTGTGTGGCCGGGGGAAAAAAAACCCCTGGCCTGTTATCTTCTATCCTCTCTCTTATTTCTCTTTTCTTGTCCTTGAACTTAGAAAGAAAGGGGTGTTTGAAAAGATTCATTTCGAAACCACAGTGATGTGAGAAGCACAGGTCTCAGATTGCCCAACCCCACTCCAGAATCCAAATACACAGTTACCTTCCTCCCTATTAGAAATCTGAGTCTCCATGCCCAGTCCTGTGACACCAGGCGAGTTGTCTCCATCCCTCCAGCGGACACAAGGATCCCTTCCTGTTAATCACCTGGGAGAAGGGCTCTGGGGAGCTGGCTGCGTGAGAGGTACAGAGGCCCTGGAACTTGCTGCTGGGGCCAGATACCCTGAAAGTTAGGGTGGGGGCACTGTGGGAGCTCTCTGCCAGTCTAAAAGTGAAACAGAGCTCCCAGCTAGAAATCAAGCAGTCTTTGGGGGCTTTACCCTGGGTTCTGAGAGGGCTCTTCCACCTGTCCCCTCCCCACTCCCAGCTTGGACGCTTGCATCTGACCCTGTCATAATCTGCCTGATTTGCAGTCACAGCCTAACCTAACCTCATTTTCGTCCAGTGGCTCAGGGCAACTCCAACAGCCCCAAAGGCCAGAGGCAGCCAGGCCTTGATGGCCACTGCGGTCTGTGCTTCGCCCTGGGCACAGTAAAGATTCTGCAACATATTGGGAGGGTTGTGGAGAGGGGCAGGAGCCCTTTCTTATTGTCAGAAAAGAACTCTCCCACCCCAGGCTGGGCAGGACAATGGGGTTCCCACATGAGCCCCTCGGCCTCTCACTTATCTCCCCGGCATCTCCTCCAGTCCATCTGTGCTAAGACAGCAAGCCCACCAAATCATTGTCCCTCAAAGGCTCCCTGGGCCTACTGAGAAAGCCCACCCACTTCGTAGCCCCCTCCCTGCTTTATCTAGCCCTTCCAGGCCCGTCTAACCCTCACAGAAACCATGAGACTCCCTGTCCCCGGTTACCTTCTGTATAAGACCCTTTGCTCATGGCCTTCACTAGGCCCAGAATTCTTTGTTTTTATTCTTGACTTAGAAAAGCCCAGGGCCCAGTTCCAATGTCGCCTGCTCTGTGAAGCCTCCCGCCAGTAAGAATGAATCCTCTCCCTGAGCCCCCATCTGCTCCCATTTAGATCGGAGTTTGTTTTGCGCCTGGCCCACCGGACAGAATCCCTACCAGCTCCCCTGGCAGCAGCCTGGGCAGGGCCTGGTGCCTGGCAGGTAACTGAGCCACGTTTACAGAGTTGACTACGAGTAGCAACCCCCCGCCCCTTTTGTCCTCACTTTTTAAAGCTGTTCTTGCGGCAATGATCTAGGATAGAATTAGAACAGAATAATATTATAGCAGCAAAGCTGGAAGCTTGATTGTTTCTTGCCCACATGGCTACTTTATAATGAAACCCAGGCTAAGAGGGAGCCATGATGCAGGGGAAGGGGGGGAACCCAAGGCTCTCCCACCAATGCTGCTTTCTAATCAACTTGAGGAACCTCATCAGGGGAGCCATCTCCTCACAGCTGGGCAGGAGGAGCCGCGAACAGCAAGATGAGTGTATGCTGCTGGAAGGAGTTGTCATTCTATGGGGCCTGGGACTCAGGACCCCTAGACAAGGATTCTGGGTTATCTACAAAGAAGCCACTTAATCAAATCTAGAGACGAGGTGATAAGCTCATGGAAGCTTGGTCCTGAAAGGAATCAACCAACTCCATCATTTTATGGATGGGGACACTAAGGCCTAGGCAAGGACAGCAACTGGTTCAAGCCACATGGAGTGTAAGAGACAGGGCCAGGGGTGGAACTGGGCCATCTAGCCTCTAGTCCCGCATTCTCCCGCCAACCCACACTGCCTCTACATCAGCTGGCTACTGGAGGGTAGTGAAATGGTACAGAAGTGTTCTTTTTCACGGTCACTGTTAAACTAGAGTTGAGCAATGACAAGTTTTTTTAAAAGGTGCAAAATGTTCCATTTATAATTTAAAAATATGTTAAATGGAAAATCCACTAAATTCAGTGACATTCACTATCTGCCTTCTCCTTGCTGGTCATCGACCTGCGTCCCTGAGAGAGATGTGGAATGAAGGCTCCTGTCTAGCAGGCCACCTAGGAATCCTCCCTAGCCCAGCCCATGGCTCCATGGTACCTGGCCAAACCACAGACGTGACCAGGAGCCTCTGCCTTTTGATGCTGTGATTCTAACAGCAGAGGCAAATTCTGAGCATGAAATACAATTTTAAGCGTGCCAACTATGAAATGCAGTGATAAAAACATCAAACAAGTGCAAGAGGCTCTTCTAGTCCTTTATTTCTTAGTTAATTCATTGCATGACACACGGTCCCCCACCGTCCCGAAGCAGCTGCCTGGATGGGATGGTGGGAGGGCTTTTGCAGACTCGGTTACAGTGCTAGCTAGGCGGCAGTACCCCGCAAGGCCGGACCACAGTTCTCCAGGCGCCTGCAGACGCTCCGCGCCAGCGTCCAGCACATGGAGCTGCTTTTCCCACAGCCAGGATCCACCCGTCCAGCAAAATGTTTGCTGCCTGTTCCTGTGACCTTATGCTCTGCTGGCCTAGAGGACTTAGTTCCAAAGGGAGAAATGCCTCCTCCCGGTGGCACAACGATTCCACCCGACTGGAAGACAAGACTGACGCCCGGCCACTTTGGCTCCTCATACGTCTGAACAATAGGCTGAGAAGGAGTTTCCGTATCGGCTGGGGTGACTGACCCTAATTACCAAGGGGAAATCGGACTGCTGCTCCACAGTGGAGGTAAGGAAGTACATGTCTGCAATAGGAGATTGCTTAGGGCTTTCTTACTATTACCATGCCCGTGATTAAAGTCAATGGAAAACTACAACCCAATCCAGGCAGGACCACTAATGGCCCAGACCCTTCAGGAATGAAGGTTTGGGTCATCCAACCAGGCAAGGAACCATGACCAGCTAAGTGCTTGCCAAAGGCAAAGGGAATACAGAATAGGTACTGGAAGAAGGTAGTAGTTATAAATACCAGCTGTAACCATGTGACTCGTTAGAGAAACAAGGACTATAATTATCATGAGTATTTCTTTCCTATTTTCTTATAAATATATTTGCAGGTGTGTGTGTTAAGTAAATATCTTTGTTTTCTTCCCTCTTAGTCTCTTAATGTGTAACATAGGTACTGAATTTATATTGTAGCATTTAAGTATTGTTCATTTTACATCATAGTACCTAAGTTATGGGATATCAAAGAGAAGAGCAGAACTGAAACACCGGCTCTCTCTTCCTGGCTGTCCAGCCTGCCAGCCTTTGGACGAAAACTACACCATCCATTCTCCTGGATCTCCAGCTTGCCGACTGCAGACCTTGGGCCTTGTCAGCCTCCATAATCGTGTGAGCCAATTTCTTATAATAAATCTCTTTCTATATGTATATACATCCTCTTGGTTCTGTTAGAGAACTCTGACCAATACAACACACACACACACACACACACACACACTACTGCAAAGGCAATGTTATTCCAACGTGATGGCCATAGAAGGAAAGAGGATGTGGCAGCTTCTGGAAGTCTGCACCTGTCCCTCCCCCAGGTGGTGATAGTTGCTGTCCCTGTAACTGTGACAAGGTGGTCCCCTTTAGTGCCTTACTCACATCAGGGTCCAGCTCATCCAGCTCATTTTCCAGGGTCCTGAGCTCTTCCTCCGTCAGGGCTCCAAGGATTTCATCTTCATCCAGGTCTCGGTACTTCTCCAGCTCTCGTCTGTAGGACATTGTGAAGAGCTTGTCTTTGTCTTCTAAATTTCTGTGCTGATCTAAGACCTACCAGAAAGAGAATGATCTTAGAAAGACCCTTCTTGGATTTGCTCTCAGAAAAAATAAACGTTCGTCATTCAAATGGTGGCCTGGCCATGTTTTATGAATTGTCAGGATAACGGTTACTATTGTGGAATACTGCACAAAGTTGGACTAATAAATTCCATAATAAAACCATGCAAGATAAAAGTCCCGAGGGCATGTGACTGAATGAATCGTAATTTATTGTATTGGCATGACCATTAATTATGAGTAAAAGAGGTGATTATAAATGGCTTATGAGTGCCTGAAAACTATTTTATTCTTCAAGTAGTTTAAATACTTTGCTGTACAATCCTCCACCCTCCATCCCACATCCCGATGGACAATATGAATGCTGGAAACTCTGCCAACGCTGTTCTTAAAAGCGGGGGAGTATCACTGGTTAACTGAGCGCCTGCTCCCTGCAGGCCCTTCACCTGCAACATGTCATTCAATCCTCACAAGCAGCAGCCAACAGTAATGTTAACTCTTCCTACCGTGTGTCAAGCCACGTGTTAAGCAACTCATAAGGATTTCCTAATTTAACCTCTGAGGTAGGTATTAGCTGTTATCTCCATTTTGCTGATGAAGACATTGAGAGACTCCCAGAAATCACATGTCAAGAATCAGCAGAACCAGCACTGGAACCCAGGTCTGTTGGCTTTCTGAACCCTCATTGCTCCAGCCATTGTATCCCAACACCTTTTAAAAAATATATATATCTGTATTGATTTTGGAGAGAGGAAAGGAGAGACAGAAACATCAATGATGAGAGAGTCATTGATCGGCTGCCTCCTGCACGCCCCCGACTGGGGATCGAGCCCGCAACCCGGGCATGTGCCCTGACCGGGAATCGAACTGTGATCTCCTGGTTCCTAGATAGATGCTCAACCGCTGAGCCACGCCCGCTGGGCTGACACCTTTTTCATAGAATCACCTAAGTCCTGGCCAGAGGAGAACACCTTATTCAGACCCTTCCTTCATTCCTGAGGGAGCTGGCGCAGAGGGGGAAAGTCATTGGCCTGGAGAGGGGGAGGGGGCCCCAGGGAGACCCGTGTCCAGGTCTGCCATGCCCCAGGTTGCTCTCCTTTGCAAGAGAAGGCTGCTGCTCACGTCCCCTGGCACGCATGAGGCCTAAACCTATGTCTGGATCCTGTTGCTGCTACTCCCTGTTACCATGATGTTTTCACACCTGTGAACTCATTTGATCTCGATGTCACTCCCCGTAGGTCAAGTCTTTTAACTAAAACCATTTTATCAATGAAGAAACTGAGGCATGGCTTAGAGTTTGACTCAGGATCCCTACCATTGGGCCCCAGGTGCTCCCCACTATACCCCACTGTCTTGGGCCTAACCTAAGAGACCCAATGACGTCTTAAGGCCCTTCTGTCCTTCGGCTTGGCTGCAACTGTCTCATAGCATGACAAGGCCAGCTCACATGCTCCCTCCCTCCCTGTGAAGCTTCAGTGTCCCCTCACCAAGCAAAGCTCCTCCTGGCCACAGCACTGGGTCCACACCTCCCCGCACGGCCTGCGCCTGACTCCCTGGACTTCCACCCGGCGGGGCCTGGGTCTGCTCCATCCCGCTCTCCTCAGGGCCCAACCCAGGGCCACGCGCATGGCAGAAAGTTTTTTACTGAAATGAGCCCAATTCCAGTTCTCTACCTGCCATTGCTGGTCCAGTGAGACAGGCTTAACGAGACTCTGGGCTCTTCTCCACGTAGAAAGAAACGCCAGCCTGCTGTAGAAGCCGCTGGCATCCCTGTGCGAGCCTGTTCCCACCTGACCCTCAGCCTACCGGGAGCTGAGCATCGGCCTTCCTTCTGGGCTGACGGCCAACAGGTGAGGCCGCGGCCCCGGCCTTCCTTAAACGGTGCGGGACGCCGCACAGAACGGCTATGGGTTGAACTGGGTGCCCCCAAATTCATATGTTAAAGTTCTAACCTCCAGTACTTCAGCAACCCAGTACCACATTGCAAATAAGAATGTGACGTTACTTGGAAATAGGGTCCTTGCAGATATAATTAGTTAAGTTTAGATGAGGTCATGGTGGAGAAGAGTGGCCTCCAATCCAACATGACTGGTGTCCTTATAAAAAGAGGAAATTTGGACCAACAGGCATGCAGGGAGACACCATGTGAAGATGATGAAGGCAGAGATTGTGGTGATGCTTCCACAAGCCAAGGACACCAAAGGTTGCCAGCAAACCACCAGAAGCTGGGAGAGAGGCTAGGACAGATCCTCACAGCCCTTGGAAGGAACCAACCGTGCCGATACCTTGATGTTGAACTTCTAGCCTCTAGAACTTTGAGACAATAAATTTCTGTGTGTGGTACTTTGTTATGGCAGCCCTAGCAAACTTATACAGTCAGTATCATCTTTTTCACAGCAGTTTGTGTTTTAGACACCCCCTTCCCATGCAAACAAACAAACAAACAAACAAACAAAACCCATGACTCATCTATGAAATGACTTAGGGAATTTTTCAGAGTAGAGAGAAATAAAAGCTAGGAAAAGACAACCAACTAATCAATCAAAAAAGTGGGATTAATTGTTAATTAAAAACAAAGTAATAAAAATAAACTAAAACTGAAGTTCACTAAGCTAACAGAGAAAGCCTCCATTTCAGCAGGCAGAGATACGTGTTATTAATGTAGGTTTGTGCATGTGTGGGCATTTTGTAGAAGAAATCCAAGTGTGTGTGACAGCTGGCTTGATAAGAAAGAACTTGCTTCCCAAATACAGAAACCCCCAGTGCCATCCTTTTGTCTAAGAATGGCTCTGCCTGACCAGACGTCTTCCCTTAACCAGACCCTAAGAATGCAATGTTCAGACCATAAGTGCCCCCAACCCCCAATTCATTTCTATTTACTTCCAAAGAAAGCACAAGCAGCTGACAGTGGTCTGGTATAGATGGAAAAACCTTCCTAAAGGCTCCCAGAGAACAACCTAATTTGGCTTTTCCTAAGTGGAGTCAGGAGAGCTCTCCATCTCAGGGCCAAGAGGAACCCTAGTCAAGGGCTTAGAATCTTTCAGAACCAACTCCCAGAGATACCTCCAAACTAGCGTCTCTTAGGTGGGTTGCAAAACATGTTTTGGGTGCTCAAACAGGTTTGGGTTACGTGAACTTTCCACAGGACTCTGGGCTGCAGGACTTCTCAAAAATTCTGGTATGTTCCATATGCCGATATCTCCAAGAGGGGGAGGTTACAGGCAGAATTTCCTATCCTTTTTGACCATGAAACCATGTGTCTGAGAAACTGCTCCTGGAATTGGAATCTCATAAAACCAAGATGGGAAAACAGCCTTAGACTCACCGCTGGGTCACAAGAGGGGGCCATTGAGACTCACTCAAGAAGGGTCATAGGGATGGGAACAACTAGGACAGGTTTGGGACCCAGGGAGCTTCCCCTGCTTGTTATCTTTGCCAGCTGACTCAGTTCCTAGATAATTTGCACTCAAATCCTTAGAAAAAGTCATGGACAGACCCCAGAAGAGGGATGAGGCAGGAAGAGGGGCCAGGGGAGAAAGGAATCCATATCAAAGCCACCTTGGAAAAAAGGAACTGGGAGGGGGCATGAAGAGAGAAGTAGATGGGAACTATGGGGTCTGCTGAAGGAGGGACCTGCAGGGGGAGGCCACGCTGAGGGGTGCAATCATTAAATTTCCTGAGGATCAAGTCTCTCTTAGCACACACAAGAAAGTTAATGATCCACTTACACACTCAAAGGTGCTGTTGAATTAAAAAATCTGATTCCAGAGGATTTAAAAGGCCCTTTCTAATGTCAAGTGTCCTGTGAATATTATAGAGCGATGAGGCATTTCATTAAATAAGCTGAGAGGAGTGGAGAACTCCTAAGGTAAACTTTCAAGCTGTCGGCTTCAAGCCACACTCATCTACTTGGCTCCCAAGGATGGTTTCTCTAAAGCAAGACTCTCCTCCTGTGGTCGGTGATGTGGGGGAACTGGAAGTGGGGAAGAAAAGGGGGGCCCACTGCAAGCTCAGCCTTAAAATATGGCTTGGAAGACATGGTATGTTACACCTGTTAATAAAAGGCATTTGTTTCCTAATAAAAGAGTTGTCATGGATGGACACAGGCCTGAGATTCCTAAGACTTGAGTTGGAGTTAGAATTGAGGTGGTAACTCTCCTCCTCTGGGCCTCCATTTGCTCATCTGTAAAATGAGCATTAATGGACTGGGAAATTTTGCACGTAACCCATCCCTCTTGGAGAAATCCAAGAACTAGATCACATGAATGGTCTTTAAACTGTGCCAGGGGAGATCTCAGGCTCTGAGAAAGCCTCTCCAGGGCCCTTGCGGGAGGGCAGGGGTAGGGAGGTCAGGTTAAGACAGAAAGACTAGCCGAGTGGGCTCAACCCTGATTTTACCTGATTTGTTTACTTGGGGTTTCATATAAGAGTTCCCTCGAAAAGAGGATTCAGCTGCTAAAATAAAAAGCTGAAAATCACTGGACTGGATTTGTTTTTCTATATAGTGGGAGGGTAATAGTACTCACCCCCTAGGGTGCTGTGAGGATTAACTGGCAATAAGCAAATAAGGTACAAGGCCTGGGGCTGGTGCGTGGTCAAGGCAGGCTCAACAAATGGGAGCCACTGTGAGGCTGCTGCCTGAGTCGCCACCTCTCCCCAACCCTGCTCCCCTACACACATCAGACGGTAGCTTCCCTCGGGTAGACCTGTGTCCAGCCCTGTGCCTGGTGAACCTGCTAGTAGGGAACGAGCACATTTGGGTTTTGGTCTCCTGTCCTTGGAACTTTGGGCAAGTCCCTTCTCTTCTTGGATCCTCTCTTTTCTCACCTTTAAAATGGAAAGATGCGACTAGATCTGGGAGGGTTGGGGGCCCAAGAGGGGATGGCCAGGGAGGAGGGGTGATGAAGCTGCCAGGGCTCCCAGCGTGGCCCACCCGAAGCGGAACAGCACCCGTTGCCTGCTTTCTAAACTGGGTCCTGAGTAGGA